CACTGATTCTCTGTGATTGCTTTGATTGCAATCAGCATTTTCCACTTTGTGTAATTCGAGTAAACCTTACCGGCTTGGTACAGATGACAAACATATTTTACTTTGGATCACTTTTATATTTTGCCTACCTTTTTAGCTTATTCGCCCGACAAACATTTCGTGTGTTCTAATCTTGATATTTGTGACAATCGCTGTCCTCGTACACATCCTCCTCCTGATGATGATCCTGATGAGGGTGAGGTTGATTTTCGTATTAATTGTCGTGATCTTGGTTATTTTATTACTGTTGTTCGTCGTGATGGTCCTTATTTTAATGCTTGTCGTGATGGTGGTCTTGATCTTCCTCCTGCTGTTGATGGTCCTATTAAATGTGGTAAATGTGCTGATGTTATTAGTGATGATGATCTTTGTTTTCAATGTACTAAATGCAAAAGTGTTTACTGTGAGAATTGCAGCTTTCAATAAACTAGTTGCAACGTTTCCGCGTGCGTGTATGGTGTGGCATGCATGATGTTTGACTTTTCCTTACCAGTTCTTCGTATTCCATGTATGTCCTTATGTATCCGTCCTTACTGGGCACATCATATTATACCTTGTGCCTATCTGTTCTTATCAACTTTTTGTTTCATCTTCTTTTCTTCTCTTTCTGAAACGGGTATTTAAGCTTTTTCCTTGTGTTAAAACACTGTAGTTCCTCATAGAAAGAAATATAATAAAGCGTGGTTTGATCGGCGCTAAGGCCTTTCTATCAAAAATCATCACGCTGGTGATGTGAACAGTCATGTTTTTATTTTGACAACTAAATAAATCGCGACTATTTATATGGAAAGAACCGTAACAATCATCAAAGAATCTTCGTCGATCATTGTGTAGACAGAAGAAAATTTATCGTTATCAAAATCTATCTTTTCTCTAAACGTGCATGCAATTATGTTGAGTCCTCAAAGAGAGTGATCTGGGGGTGAGGGTAATTTTGAATTATTTGAATTCAAAGCTAATATGACCAGTTTCATCCTTGCTCAAGAGACTCATTAGATATATTTTGAATTCAATTTATTAAATTAAATATCAACGGGTAATATAAGTTTTATTATTTATTTTTCAACAAAAGTTTAGGGTGGGGTGTGTGGGTGTGGGTGTGGGTGAGGGTGAATAAATCAAATATTCGAAAACAGATTAATGTATATAAATTTTTTGAAATAATATAAATCAATCTGCTATTCTCAACTTTTGCTTTTCAGCAACCGATGATTAAGTCAATTTAATATTTTGCATTTTTAATATTGTGCTTGAATTAAATTGAATACAATAGATAAATAATGCAGATTTATTTTTTGATGCCGACGCGTTTTATGTTCATTTATTAAAATATTAGAACACTCTTCAGGGCACTGCATTTCAATATAAAGCACAAGAAGCAAAATAAGCTAGAACGATAAGCAAAAATTTTTATTAAATGGAAAATTGAATTAGAAAGAGGTTAGAGGAAATATTTGTATCATGAAAAGGCCTCCAACAAAACTTTGAATCTATTTTAAAAAATTATTCGAAAAATTATTTGAAAAATTTTTTTAAGATTAATATTTCGAGTTATTTTTAAAGGAGAAGAAAACGATAAGAATAGTCTATATGTAGTTTATATGTATATTCCAATGGGCAATTGATTACTGGCGACACGTATACAACATGTGGGTGTGGGTGTGGGTGTGGGTGTGGATGGTGTGGGCTGTGGGCGTGGGTGGCGTGTGGGTGTGGGTGTGGTTGTGGGTGTGGGTGTGAATTTGGATGTGAACGTGGGCATTTCAATTCTCATTACCGACATCACAACCCACACCCACACCCGTAACTTCATACTAAAGTAAGTTTCGTCTCTTTATCTGATCCTAAAGGAAGTCTATCATTATTTATCATTGTCTGTGGTTCAATGATACGTATGATCTATTGGAACTGTATTTCGTGTTTCCAAAGTTTTTTTTCTTTGTTTGTCTGCTCTCCATTTTGTGTATTTTACTGTTGCCATGAACAGTACTTTTTAAGAGAGTGCTTGATTGACAGAAATTTTAAAAAAACGAAAAGAAAGGAGAAAAAAGAAAAATGAGTAAAACCTTTTTATGTTGTACAAGTAACATACGAGTCCTTCGACGAACAAACGACGCGTCTCCCATACAGAAAATTCAACCAAATTGGAAATTATTACTATTGAAATTTTTTGAAAAATTTTAAATTGATTTTTGTATCTATATAAATTACAAAGAATCGAGACAAAAATGAAATGGATATTCATCACGGACTTCTCTTTATCGGATCAACAAAGAATTTCTTCTTGATCAGAAAACTACTCAGTGTACTCAAGTGTATGCATCGTACACAGTCTTATTGATTTAATGGTTCTTTCGTGTAGAATTTTGTCTACGTTTTACATGATTAGCTTTCTACTTAAGTGTCCTATTCTATTTATGATTTTTCCACGATTTTCAATATTGAGATCAAACTATCAAAATAATGTCGCCTGTTATTTCATAAGATAACGACTAACAACGATACTTTCACACATTGAAAGTTTGGCGATCAAGAAGAAAGAGTGAAGCGTTAACAGCGAGTCTGAAATCTTTGTGTAACATGGAAAAGCTTAGCAATGAAACTGAAGATCCTTTCAGATTGGGTGTCGGTTTACATGTAGACATGGGCACAAGTGAGAAAAGAGTCTCACCCATCCTCACCCTGGCATCTACCCACACCCATCGATACCCTTCTTGGAATAGTGTTGTTATCATCCCTATTACATAAGTTTAAGTTACATAAGTAGGAGCACAAAAATTAAAACTTAATATTGATGATTCAGTGGCTTGAAAACTATTAATATTAACTAATTAAATGGTGAAGGTTGCTCGTTTTTATTAAGATAAGTATGTCAGTAACTAGTTAGAGTTGAACGTACAATGAAACACAATGTTCTTTTCTTATTCATCACATGAATGCTTCTAGAAATATGTATTCGTTAGAAAAAGAAAGAGATAGGCTCTGTATCATTTGCTAGGAAATAAGTACTTAATTTACTTATCTAACTAGGAGTAACATATACTGTTCCTGACTTTGGTTAATAGAATAAAATGTATCTCAATACGATTGTTAGTGTCAAATGAATGATGAAGCGAATCGAGGTCTTTTCATCGTCTGGTTCTAAACTACATCGCAAGGATGAATTAATGATTTGGTGTCTAATATGAAGTTATAGTTATTAGATTATCATATCTTTTTTCTTTTCCACATCACTTTTCATGTCTAAAAGTTGTAACTCTATGTGAAGTAATGACAAATGGCATTACGAAATAGTGGACAAAATATCTCTACTAAGATTAACAATCATTCTGTATTTGTAGCTGATTGTTATATGTTTTTTCATCATGCAGTCCTATTATAGTATTAATTATCTATTCGAAACTTTCTACTATCGATTTGTATTTTGAATCATCCATCATGGCGAAGCGTTAAAAGAGTAATATTTAATGTCGTTCGTCCTCATAAATCCAAGATAGATCCTAAAATCGTATTATATAGTCAGATTACATAGATCAAGCATAGAGATGAAATTCTCTCACGTGATTCATAAAAGCCAAAGAGTACTTGCAGTAACTTTTTTAACACTTTTTTTTCTAGAATTTACCAAAGTGATTCTTGTCAGAGTGAAAGATTGATTACGTGTACAATAATGAGCTATTCATACTAATGACTATAAATTCAATATATTTTTTAATTGACGAAAGGTTCATCTTTCAAAGTTCTTAAAGTAAAGAAACTGTTGTATTAAATTACACTAAAACATGAAAAATAATGAGTCCTACCAATTGAGTATAAGCATACATGATGATTAATTTAAATAGAAAAGTTAATAATCGATAAGAAATGCAGTCGAACAATCGGATGTCAGATGATCAATTGAGATCATATTCTTAGTATGATTAGAAGATTTCGAGTTACTCATTTGTTTACATCTACCCAGCAGTGTCACATATCCAAGATTTTGGAGATGCCACCACATCTCCTGCGGGAGATGCCGCATCTCGCGCGAGAGATGCGAGCGTGGGTGTGGGGGATGCGTCTCTCTAAAGGAGATCTGACATCGCGAGTGGTGACTGGCCGCATCCGCC